GGCTCTCCAAAGCAGATGAAAAGATCTTTGGGTATTTAGCTAGTAAATATCTTTTGCTATATAAACGAGTTTTAGTTTTTTAAAGGTGAGGATGTAAAATTATTTCCCATGTAAAACTAAACTATAACACTTATGTAACTATTAGAGCGGATATTAATTTATTTATTTTGGCTGTGCTGGGCCTTTGCTGCTGCATGCTCACTTTCTCTAGTTTCGGGGAGCAGGGGCTCCTCTCTAGTTGCAGCTTGGGCTTCTCATTGTGGTGGCTTCTCTTGCTGTGGAGCACAGGCTCTAGGGCAGGCAGACTTCAGTAGTTGCAGTTTTGGGCTCTAGTGCACAGATTCAATGGTTGGAGCACACAGGCTTAGCTTCTCAGTGGCATCTGGGATCTTCGGGACCAGGGATTGAACCTGTGTCACCTGAATTGGCAGGCAGAGTCTTCACCACTGAGCCATCAGCGAGGCCCCCTAGAGTGGATTCTTTTAAAAATTAAGTTTGAATGAAAAATTCACATATTGTGGCAATAAAAACTAGAGTGGATTATCACTGAGAATGGATGGCGAAAGCAGAAGAAGAAAAAGAAGAGGTGGGTAGGGGGCACAGAGAAGAGAGAGAAATATAGCATACATATTGTGACTTGTATTTGAGTTAAACTAATATCTCCATTCTGGCCCTTGTAATCACTCCAGGAAATTAGTGCCTTTGAGAAAAGAGATCCTGGCTAGCCCTGACTATCCTGAGGGATTTAGTATAGTTCCTATGCTTTCCAATTAGGTTACTTGGAACAAAATTTCTCCTTATTCCTGTCCAGAAATATGTATATAGCTTTTCCTTTTGGCATCAATGAAATCTTCTCATTCTGGGTATTTTTGTCAGGTAGGTAATAGAATGCACTTTTAACTAAACAGTTGGTGTCTTTTTAATATTAAAGACTTAAATTCTGGCTAAAGTGATTTCATTGTACATTTCCAAAGATGATTTCAAATCACACATGCTCATATAGTCATGGGCCAGAACTTCAAAATCCACCTCTACTCCATTTTTAACCTAAAATGTTCTCTTTGGCAATTTGCATGCTCTAGAAGCTTACTTCCTAGATCTGCTCTTTCATCTGGAACTAAGATTCTTATTAAGAAACTGTGCCATAGACCCACCATTGGAAAACATCCCTCTTTAGGGTGTAACTTGGCACTTAGAGACTCCGGCAGAGCAACAGGATGTGACAATTTAGGGCAAGAAAACAATGGTATATATTGTACTACAATAGAGTCTGACATGCTAGAAGCAATTTGAAGGGGCCAAATGTAATTTGCTAAGGCACTTGGTCTCTGAGAAGTCAGTACTGATTTTCCTGATACACTGGTAGTGTTTTTATTAATAAATAAAGCAAGAAATGAAGATGCTGAATTTTTCCTTTACTTTAAAATGTAGCAACTGGCAAGAGCTTTCAGTTTTTTAACTTGTAAAAGAATGGACCCAGGTTAGTCTGTGCTTACAGAATATACATTTCAGTGGGTTCGCTTATGACCCAGAATGTTAATTATCCAATGATTCTGAAAGCAACCCAGAATCTTCACTGAACGAAGGAAATGCCTGGGGAAAATGTATTCCTGATGGTGAGAATATATGAAAAAAAGCACAGACCTACAGTGATTGCTTATAGTCTCCCCATTTCCCATAATGCATATTCCAAACCTTTTCACTTATTTCAAGATCTCAGCCTGCGTTCTCTGCTTTGTCCAACTCTATTTCTTCTACAAATTACCTTAGACATTCCATCTCTAGCTCCCTCAATTTTACACTCTTGAAATTGTGTGAACTTTCCTCCTGCTCTTTCTTGACTCTGAAAACCAATGTTCTCCACTCTCCCCCCTTAATTGTATCTTCAATGCCATATTGAGTGCATCTGCCAGGACACTGGCACTTTTACCTTCTGCTTGCAGTCATCTTCCCTCAAACTTCAAGCTGAAAGTGAAAGTGAAGGTCACTCAGTCATGTCTGACTCTTTGTGACCCCATGGACTATACAGTCCGTGAAATTCTCCAGGCCGGAATACTGGAGTGGGTAGCCTTTCCCTTCTCCAGGGGATCTTCCCAACCCAGGGACTGAACCCAGGTCTCCCACATTGCAGGAGGATTCTTTACCAGCTGAGCCAAAAGGAAAGCCCAAGAATACTGGAGTGGGTAGCCTATCCCTTCTCTAATAGATTTTCCTGACCCAGGGATGGAATCGGAGTCTCCTGCATTGCAGGCGGATTCTTTACCAACTGAGCTATGAGGGAACACACTTTGTCTTTTTTCTCACTTGTTTCTTGAAGTTTTCAGCCTCCAGTACCTCATCATTCAAACATTCTTTACTCTTCTGCAAATAAAGTTTTACAGGGTACCAGCCTAGATTTTTCACATACTTGGTAACTATTCTGTTTCATACATTTTCCTATTCTAACCTTCCAAAAGCAGATGTTTTCCAAGGTTTAGTCCTTCATCATCAAGAATCTCCTAACTTCTTCATACTGTCAGTAATCTGGGACACTCAACTCTTACTGCAAGGTGCATCATTAAATAATAGTGTTATTGCCACACTTTATATCTTACTGAAGAGTCTGCCCTATGCTGTCAGCTGCCTGCTGCAAATCTCTAAATAGAGCATGTTTCAAACAAAAATGCAATTTCTTCTCTATCTTCCCAAATTTTCTCATATTCTTGACACCCTCAGTTTCTATATGCAATCATTTGCTAAGTTCTCAATAGTTTCATTGTCTTTCTCCCATCATCTTCTTCAACTCATGGTGCATTTTTAATTAAAATTGGAACTATTTTACTAGTTTGCTAAATAATCTTTCTACCTTCTGTATTCCTTTCCTTATAATTTAATTTTTTTACTCTAATCAAATTAGATCCCTAAATTATTGTTTCACATTAAAAGTTTTGATGGACCTTTGTTAAACAATGAGTGTAATTGAAAACTCTAGCTTGGCATCAAAGTTGTCCTTTCTTGCTGGAGTGGGAGAGAATAATACTTCCTAAGTGTTCTTAGGAGATTAACTGACCCACCATGAAATCAGGAAAACAAAATGAGTTGGCTGGAAGTATTTGCTCTCTTCATTTATGTGCCATATTTGTCATAATTCTGCTTTGAAATACTTAATAAAACCACTGGTTATAGTTTCATTTGCAATTGATGTCAGTTTGGTAGAAATCTTCACTGTTTATCAGTGTAGTTGGCAAGTTTTCTTATTATTTGCCCTCAACCACAGCTGTATTTTATTGCTATAGTAACTATTTGAATGCCTTTTTAAGTATAAAAGCAGAATATCCTTTGCTCTAGTGGGATGGTTGTCTTCAGGCAAAGTGAAAACTATAGCTGAGATGATTATTTCTTTTTTCTGGAAGAATTAACAATGAGAAAGTCATAGATTATAATCAGCTAATTTTTCTGCTAGTTAGAATAAATTATGGTTTTGATAACTGCCATATTGGCATTTAATAATCTGCTAATTCAAAAGCTAGAAAATGTTTATAGACACATACAGCCTTTACTCCTTGTTTATTTAAAAAACAAGTGCTATGAAGGTTGCTTAGAAAAGACAACAATCATTGTTACTTCAACAGGTTTTGTATTCCCTTACCCACTAAATTTCCTAACCAGACAAACTAGAAATATAACCAGGAAAGGAAGCCTTTTCTAAACCAGTTTGCCTGAAGTAGGTAATTCACTATGTTTTTTGGTCAATGGGTTGGAATATTTGCCTCAAGCCGTCACTCTTTGAAAATGTACTTGTCCCAGACAAGGTTACTGATGTCACAACCAGGAGTTCACATCCTGGGAGAGGTTTACTGTTGAAGCGGAGGTGTATCTGATTCAGCCCCGAGGCAGAAAAACTGGACAAAGCAGTTTTTCCCCCTTCCCCTTTATAGAGTGTGTGATTTATGCAACAGCCCTGGCTTGGCAAATAGGGAAGTGTCAGCGCTAAATCAGCTTTACTCTAAGGGCACAGAGTGCCTGTGTTTCTCAACTCAGTGATACCCAAACCCAGGACCATTTTGCTTCAAGTGGAATACACACGCAGAGCAAACATTCTCAAGGTCAGTGTACGTGCTCTTTATTTTTCCACCACAAGAACCATTTTTCTTGTTCGGACAGAGGCAAAGAACTCATTCATGCTTCAGAACAGTAAACTCCATGGAAAAAATATTCAAAGAACCACTTCTTTTTAAAGAGAGGCTATTACGCAATCAGTATTTGTGGAACAATCAACTATAGGGGGTGGCAGACTAGGCTTACCTTCCTGAGCACACGGCTGGCAGTCTATTTGTGGGATGGCCAGATTCTTATAGCACAAGGAAGTGAACAATTGAAGCAAGTAACTGTATACTTCAAGCAATATTCCATGACTTCCTTCAGTTACAGTATTTCAAGCAGTAGTAGGGTTGAGGACTTAGTCATTTAGATTAAATTTTCCTTTGGTGGATTAAGTACCAGTTAGATAATGTGCTTTTTTTGGGTGTGTGTATCATTGTTATTGTTATTACTATTTTGCAGTTCAACAGAGCTTGTTTTTGTGTAAATAAGTTCAGCGACTTGATCAAGGAGACCTGAATTGTCCAGATGCCTGTTGCTGAATGGAGCAGTGTGGATTTTTTGTTTCATAATTGTGACTGTGAAACAGTCACAATTACAAATGGGGAACACATGTAAATCCATGGCTGATTCATGTCAGTGTATGGCAAAAACCACTACAATATTGTAAAGTAATTAGCCTCCAACTAATAAAAATAAATGAAAAAAAATTACAAATGGATTGGTCTTTTATAGCACAGGTTTGGGGGAAAATCCCCTGGGTTCCCCTCCGCTTCTCAGTAATGAATGCTGCCCTGTTGTTTTCCTTTCAGCTTGTGATGCTTCGCATCTCTTACCTTTCTCCCCTTTGTTTTATGTAAATTTTGTGTGGATAATGGAATGAAATGGTTTCCATGGAGCTGAACAAACATTAGGTCATAGTGTAAGGAACTCTTCCTCTCTTGAAGTACACAGGTAAATTTGCATACAAGTTTAATTATTTGGTTTTATGAGTAAGACTGAAGCCATGAACAAATTGAGCTTCCAGTGAGGTAGACCTTCACTTTTGCTCATAAAATATGTATATACAGGTATAATAAAAAAGGGCTTCCTAGGTGGTGCAATGTTAAAGAATCCACCTGTTAATGCAGAAGACACAGGAGACATGGGTTTGATCCCTCGGTTGAGAGGATCCCCTGGAGAAGGAAATGACAACCCACTCCAGTATTCTTGCCTGGGAAATCCCATGGACAGAGGAGCCTGGTGGGCTATAGTCCATGGTTGCAGAGAGTTGGACACAATTGAGCATATACTCACACACAGGTATAATAAAAACTCAAACTACACAAGAATAGTAGAACCTAGTAGAGGGAAAATTCAGATGGGAAGTCTATATTTTTAAATCTGTTTTTTAGTACCTACTAGCTGAGTGACTTTTTACTCAGGTTTATCTTTTAGTTCATCAGTTTGAAATCTTTGAGCGTCCTGTACATCTAGACTACTCTTCTTCATTTATTTACCCATTAATTAATTCATTCAGTAAATGCATAAGCTTTGGATCCACATAGACCTGAAGTTGAATTCTAGTTCCACTTCATACTAACTTTCATTTAGGAAGAAAGTTAGTGAACCTTGCTGAATATTAATTTCTTCATGGGTGAAGATGGGATGATTATACAACCATACAAGGTTGCTGTCATGCAGAAAGATAATGTGCATAAACTACTTGATCCGAGGCCTGGTGCATGATGGGTGCTATATTGGTGGGCAGGTGACTTTCAGACCTCCAGCTTCAGGGAGCATGACCAAACAAGGACATCAATTTATGCGATCTGAAATCTACCAAGGCACTGGCAACCAAGGCTTGTGTAGGCTGCTCCTAGTAGGTGACTGGGTGCATCAGGGAAAAGTCATGAAGGTTCATTCCTGGAAGACAGGGGCCTCCTCAGCACGGTCACTTTGGCTCAAGGACAAGGCTTGATGAGCCTTCCTTACTCTGAAGGGCAGTCTAGGCCTCTTCCTTTCTTCCTTCTCTTTCACTTGTATTGTGGTCTGAAGGCTCTCCCAGACTTTCCTGGCTCCCTCCTCATGTTCTCCACAGATGTTTCTTCAATTAAAATCCTTGCATCTTGGTGTCTGCTTCTTGGAGAATTCACTGAATACAGATGCTAATTAATAACAATTGTTTCAAAGATTATATTTATTGCCTATTTGTGAAAAGCACTTTCTGGATTTAGTGCATGAAAGTTGAATAAACATATTAATTCAAAGAAGTGGGGGCATGATACTGATGTGTGGTGTCATAAGACCAAAAGATACAATATTGAAGACTTTTACCCCTTAGATAAAAAGTGCCGTAAGAATTAATGATTGACAAAATAAAATTAAAGGGCACCTTTTAAAATAATATTTAGAAGTGTGATGTCAATACATCTCTAGTCTCCTAATATAACTTTTCTCTAGCATAATTCTTCAGGGAAATATTTGTGAAGGAAATTTGCAAAGAGGGATTTACAACAGGGGTTTAATTTACTCTAACATATCCTATGCATTTTGATCAGTTCAGTCACTCAGTTGTGTCTGACTCTTTGCAACCCCATGGACTGCAGCATACCAGACTTTCCTGTCCATCACCAACTCCCAGAGCTTGCTCAAATTCATGTCCATCAAGTTGGTGATGCCATCCAACTGTCTCATCCTCTGTCATCCCCTTCTCCTTCTGCCTTCAATCTTTCCCAGCATCAGTGTCTTTTCCAAGGAGTCTGTTCTTTGCATCAGGTGGCCAAAGAATTGGAGTTTCAGCTTCAGCATTAGTCCTTCCAATGAATATTCAGGACTGATTTTCTTTAGGATTGACTGGTATGATCACCTTGCAGTCCAAGAGACTCTCAAGCATTTTCTCCAATATCACAGTTCAAAAGCATCAATTCTTCGGTGCTCAACTTTCTTTATGGTCCAACTCTCACATCCATACATGACCACTGGAAAAACCATAGCCTTGACTAGACAGACCTTTGTTGGCAAAGTAATGTCTCTGCTTTTTAGTATGCTGTCTAGGTTGGTCACAGCTTTTCTTAGAAGGAACAAGTGTCTTTTAATTTCATGGCTGCAGTCACCATCTGCAGTGATTTTGGAGCCCAAGAAAATAAAGTCTGACATAGTTTCCAATGTTTCCCCATCTATTTGCCATGAAGTGATAGGTCTGGATGCCATGATCTTAGTTTTCTGAATGCTGAGTTTTAAGCCAACTTTTTCACTCTCCACTTTCATCAAGAGGCTCTTTAGTTCTTCTTTATTTTCTGCCATAAGGGTGGTGTCATCTGTGTTTTGATAATTAATTTTCATTTTGATAATTATAGCGATATCAGAGCTATGAGGTTATTTGTGGAAAGAGAAAGAGGATTGGATTAAACTGATTTCTGCTATTTACTGTGACCTTGGGTCATCTGTAGGATCCTTATACTTTTTATTTGTCAAGTTAAGTTTGAACTAGAAAAGCAAAAAGACCCATAGCCTCTGAACTTCTGAGTTTGAGAGTTCTACATCCTTTCAGATAGATTGTTAGGGTGGTGATTATAATATCAAGATATCTCATTTTTATTAAAATTTCCATAACTGAACTAACCATCCTCATTGCTCAATTTTGGAGAGGGGTTTCTGGAAGGAAAGCTATCTTTCCTCTTCCTCTTCTTGCTATCTTACCAAAGGAAAAGTTATGTATATATGTTTATGCATATTGCCATGGGTTTGTATATATTTTGTGGAAATTTGTTTTTAGTTTAAGAGAAAAGAATCATTGCATATTCTTAAGCTTTGGTGATGCTTTAATTTTTTTATTAAACTATAGTTGATTTACAATATTGTTTTAATTTCAGGCACACAGCGAAGTCAGCAAAGTGATTCAGTGTTATATATATACACACACACATACATATATTTCCAGATTATTTTCCATTGTAGCTTATTACAAGATATTGACTATAGTTCCTTGTGCTATATGATAAATTCTTGTTGTTTATCTTTTTATATATAGTGCTGTATGTATCTGTTAACCTCAAACTTCTAATTTATCCCTCTCTTCCTATTTCCCCTTTCATAACTGTAAGTTTATTTCTATGTCTGTGAAACTGTTTCTGTTTTGTAAGTTCATTTGTGCTGTTTTAAAAATTTCATATGTAAGTGATATCATATAATATTTTTCTTTGTCTGACTTGCTTTACTTAGTATGATATCTCTAGGTCTATCTGTCATCTTTTAAATTTTAATAATTATTTTAAGAAACCTTATAGAACACTGTAGACTTAACCCATTAATTTTCACTCCTCCAGGCAACATAAGAGTGAAGCTTATAGTATTATTACAATTTTATACGTTAGAACCTTAAGAAATCCAAATTTTAGTCACTTTTTCAGCTTCAGAAATAGACCTGATACATGCTGATTTCCAATTTCCATTTGACTCTACAGATATTTCCTTTAATTAAGGAAAATTGTATTAATGAGTCCAAATATCTTGAATTTTTGCCTTTCATCACAATTCTGTATACCAGAAAAGGGTATTAGTAGCTTAACTGTGTAATACACATACTAATGGGGCAGATTAATGAGAATTATCATCCTTGATGTAAAATAATTCAGTTATTTCAACCAACAATGATTATTCTTTTTAGCACCAAAATTTACAAATAGACTTTTAGTAAATTCATATTTGCAGCAGAAACTTTGAAATTTTCATAAGTTTTCTATCTTTCCTTGCAACTCCAAGGTACTACTGTACATCAAACCTGAGACTGCTCTTGGTACTTTGGTTACTGAAGAGAGTGAGAACTGTTGAGTCCAAGACTTGAGTATATTTCAGCCTTATCTTCCCTATTCCCCCTCTGACCACAACTTAAGGCCCTAGACTGACTGTCTGCTTCTGTCTTCCCTCATCATCTTTATAGACTATATTTGGTATTCAAAAAAGCATCCAATTTGTTTTACACTAAATATTAACCTTTTGTTACCCCCCAAGTTCTCCTCCTATTTTTGCTGGCCATGCAGTTATACAAAGTATCTACAGGTTGAGCTTAACCCCACAGCACTTACCTTTAGGAGAATCTTCCTCTCAACAAATCTTTTGTGTAAACCTTAGTTCTTCTTAAATATGTCATTAAAAGTTTTTTCTTCTCCTAATGATTATATAAAACCAGAGCTACCTCCCAAGTACTATCAGCCTAATTCTGGAATGAAATTATGTCCCTTATTCTTTAAGTCTGTAATATCATTTCAGAACTTCTGTACATATCTTCCCTAAAGTTTTTAGCTCTTATATTTACCTTGAACTTTCTAGCATCTTGGTTTTCATGCTCAGCAAATCCCTAGACTTTGTCCATAAATATGGAGGCAGAAAAGTGATGTCTATACTTTCTCAATTTTATGTTTCCTTCTATAAATTTTTCTTAAACCCATGTCAACTGCTCTTACTTGAATCTGTGTGAGATGAGATCTGATTTTGTGCAAAGTTGCATTAGTTATTCTAAGTTTAATGTCTAAATAGTTACTGGTGTTACTGTTGGGAGCTCTGCTGTCAGAAGGGGGAAGGTTTCTTAAGTGAAGAAGTAAAGATATCTGTACATTTATTCGTGTTACAGACTTGACACCTTCCTGTGAATATACACAGATCAGCTTTGGGATATTCTGAGGGAAAGGAATCTTCCATGGCCAGATCATTTTAGGAAGTGTTGCATGTTTGAACTCTTCATGTCTTTGTTCTGCAGGTGGACCTTCTCCCAAATCTTGATCAGAAAAAATTGTCCATATTCTGTTTTCTACAGTTTGGAAAGAGAAGTTCCCATGGACTCTTTTTGTAAAGATGTCTTAATATCTTTTCAAAGATGTTTTCTAAGGCTCTTTTCTAAGGTGTTTCAGCATCTTAGAAAATTTGTTGGCCAGAAATTCTAACATCTAATCTAAACATCTCTTGTTTTGGAACCTATTGCTGACTCAAATTTGCCACTGATTAAATGCATCTTTATGTAACTGTGTGATACACTGACACATATTAAGTGAAGTGAAAGTCGCTCGGTCGTGTCTGACTCTTTGTGACTCCATGGACTATATGGTCCACAGAATTCTCCAGGCAGAACACTGGAGTAAGTAGTCTTTCCCTTCTCTAGGGGATCTTCCCAACCCAGGGATCGAACCCAGATCTCCCGCATTGCAGGTGGATTCTTTACCAGTTGAGCCACAAGGGAAGCCCAAGAATACTGAAGTAGGTAGCCTATCCCTTCTCCAGTGGATCTTCCTGACCCAGGAATTGAACAGGGGTCTCCTGCATTGCAGGTGGATTTTTTTAACCAAATGAGCTATGAGAGAAGCTCTGTGAGAATAATAGTAGTATTTCTTTTAAATACATTGGTGTGAACCAAATAAGAAATAAAATGTTTTTGTTGTATATAGAGTTGCCTGGGTAATAGGAAAGACTAGCACCATTTTGTAAAGAGCCTATCAGTGTGACAGTTCTTGATCTTGGCTGTATTAATATAATAGAGTCACTTAGAGTGCTTTAACAGAACTGTGATGCCCTGGTGTCACCCCAAACTAATTAAATCAGTCTCTGAGAAGTTGGGGGGATAAGGGGACCCAGGTATCAGCGTTAAAACTCCTCAGGAATTCTAATGTGCAGCCAGAGCTGAGAACCACTAGTTAGGAAAACATGAACTTAGCTCTAATGATTTTCTTTATGAGTGTAAGTTGGTGCCAAATTTTTCTGCTAGCAGGGCATCTCCCGAGCAATAGCTATGGGCTCCTGGTACTTCAATTCCACAAGGCACACCTTGGGATATGAAACAACCTCTGTGTGTGCTGCCAAAGAACTGACCTGACCAGTTAGTTAAGGCAATTCATGGGCAAACAGAAATCTGTGATTACCCCAAGGGAACTGTTTTCTAGTTTCAGGTTCCCAGGAATGGAGTGAAATCAGTTTGGACTCCCACAAATTCTGGTGTCAGAACAGAGTCAAGAGAAAAGGATCTGTAGGTCAGTTCCTTCCCTTCTTATGCAATCCTGCAGATACCTCTTTCTATAACCCCAGGGTCTAGGACATCTTGTATTTCTCAAGGATCCCCCCTGGCAGTTAAGTCTGACCAAAATCAGTTGGTCAGGTATGGCCAATATAAATTATTAACAATATAATGAATTTACATGCAAAAAAAAAAAAAAATAGAAAGGAAAAAGCCAAACCAAACCAAACCAAAACCTTTGCAATTCATTCACATCTGAGTAGTATACATTTGGATGAATAAGCAGGAGGCTAGCTCACATCAGAATCACTGCTGCTGCTGCTGCTAAGTCACTCCAGTCGTGTCCGGCTCTGTGCGACCCCATGGACTGCAGCCCACCAGGCTCCCCGTCCCTGGGATTCTCCAGGCAAGAACACTGGCGTGGGTTGCCATTTCCTTCTCCAATGCATGAAAGCAAAAGGTGAAAGTGAAGTCGCTCAGTCGTGTCTGACTCTTCGCGACCCCATGGACTGCAGCCTGCCAGGCTCCTCCGTCCATGGGATTTTCCAGGCAAGAGTACTGGAGTGGGGTGCCATTGCGTTCTCCACATCAGAATCACTCTGTAGAATAACTGCCTTTCCCCTTTCCAATGCTGTTGATTCCTTTCTCAGGGCCAGAACTTGGTTTTGAACCGTGGGTCCTGACTATTTTAGTCTGGTCACTAGGGCCTGTCAGTGTCCTGTACTCCCCAAGCTCCCAAAGGCAAACAGCTAGGTCACAAGGCAGAGGGGGCTGACTGGTGTGCTAAGATTTGATTTCAGTCCCCAGAAAGGCTGGTTGTCCTTGCGGTGGCCGATGCCAGCAGGCAGCCTCCTCTGGTACCTCAGAAAAAAGTATAAGTGAAAGTTTCTCAGTTATGCCTGACTCTGCAACCCCATGGACTATACAGTCCATGGAATTCTCCAGGCCAGAATACTGGATTGGGTAGCTTTTCCTTTCTCCAGGGAATCTTCCCAACCCAGGGATCGAACCGAGGTCTCCCGCATTGCATGCAGATTCTTTACCAGATGAGCCACAAGGGTACCTCAATGTGTATTGCAAATACGATCTCTTTATGTGTCCCATGACATGAAACAGTTTGGAGGAAATATGCTTTCATGTCCAAAGCTGTATTATTTTTCCACATAGTAAATTCTATCCATTATAAAACAAACCTCTATATTTTATTTTATCATTTAAACCTTGACATGCATGGGCCCATAATGAGACCTGATTTCCATGAAGGAATTCCTTTCCAACAGGTCTCAGGAAATTTATGTTTCTCAACATCGTGGCTCAGTTTCTGACCCTTTCCAGCTGGACCCCCAACAAAGGTCCTGCTGCCCAGTGTCCCTCAGGCCAACAGGAGACAGAGCTCAGTTGAGAAGCAGAGGAAGGAGACAGAGTTTGATTCTTTCACCAAACAGTGGACAGGTGGGAGCTCCTGCTCTAGATAGGTGCCCTCCCTGGGCTGTGTTTTAGGGTTCTGGCCAGCGGGAAAGGGCGTGGGGTGCTCACTGGTGTGCGCAGGCGCAGTTGTGCCAGTCTCGGCGGGGCGCCGCATCACCGTGGCCCACCGCCGTCATCTGGAATTAAGGTGCTCTGAGCAGCGCCTCTGCACACGGTCCAGAGAGCTGAGGTGATGGGAGCAGCCATTTGGCACTAAGAACTCTGCTGTGAAGGACCAGGTGTGCGACCTCTTCACGTGGCCCCCCAGGAGGATGTGTGGCTAGGCTAAGCACAGAGGGGAAAAAAAGTTAGACGTCATTTTATTACCCAGATTCCATTTTTATTTCCCGGGAGTTGTTAATGGACTTTGCTAGGACAAATCCTCAGAAAAAATCAGTTTGGATTACAGGAAAATGAGAAAAAGCACTATAACTTTTCCGTGAGAACGACAGCTTAATAATCAAGAAGCTTCTTGGCTTGAAGGAATCCACTGCAAGAGCAGGAAATACTGATATGGGAAATGAAGTCTCCAGAAACTAATCTGGAACAAGGAGGAGAGAAGTGGTCACCATTTCATCATCTTACTTACAGTTGTTGCCCAGTTATAAGTGTGTGTGTTGCTTTATTGCTGACATAACATTTTTTTTTTTCAAATAAAACAAATATTAATAAGTTTGTGCACAGAGTATATTTTATACAATTTCTATGTGTGCTTGCTGGGATAACAAGTTTTGGAAGAAAAGAACTTTCTAAATTAGAAATTTTGAAGTATGAGTCTACGTAGTGCTAATTTCGCTGCATGAGTCAAATGTTACCTTATTTGAATACTAACCAATAATATGCCTGGAGTTTTCCAGTGTTTGAATATTCGATGAAGACTACAGTTTTTTGAAAGTACTTTGACAGAAAAAATACAAAGAAGAAGTGCATTCAACACTTAAGACAATTTAAAAACCAATCTAAAATTATATTAGCAAAAGTAATATTAATTTCAAGAGCAAAACCAAACTCAGAGCAAGCAGACATTTCAGACAAAATATTTTCAATTGTTCATGTGAAGCAATTTGCACCCGAACACCTAGCTTCAATATGTTTTTGAATGCATTCTGAACAAAGCAAAATGAAAGGAACTTTTCAACATCGGGAGTATTTGTCATAGAACAAAGGTTAAGACTATTTGATAGGGTCATTAATGCTTTATGTGCTTAAAATTTCATTTTAAGTATAACAGCTTTTAAATATTACATCTTTATGGTATTATCTTTTAATTTTTAGAATGGTTTTTAATTTGCTTTTTTGTACTGATTCCTTTAATGCTTTCAATTATGAAATGTTTCTATCATGTAGAGATCATTTTTATGTTAGTGAATTATACATATATATTGCTTCCTAATATTAACAAATCATGAGTTTATTATTTATTCTTCGCTGTTTTACTAAAAAACCTGTGAAAGTTTAATAGAAAAGTATCTACCAGAAAAATGATTTGCTGTGTATTATTATGGTCATTCATTTTTATTTAAAAGTATAAAATGCTATGAGTAACGCAGAATGCTTTGATTTTGGGAATTCCAGAGATTGTCTTGTGTCCTAATTATGAAGATTAATATTAGGAATCCAAAGGCTAAAATATAAACCAGAGATATGCTGGGGGCCAGTATCAGGGGAAGAGATCAACATGAAGCCTGGAGGCAGGAGAGGAGTTGGAGGGTTAAGCCAAGTTCAATTACAGGGTGTCAGGACAAAAGACACTAGGAGCAGAATGGCGTGGATACCAGAATTGGAATCCTGAAGACAGATCAAAGTCAGGAAACATCAGAGGCAAATGAGGGGGCAGAAGAAGGGGAGTTAAAAAGGAAACTAATTCCAGGGGTCAACATCTTCTGGAATCAAGATTGCTTTAAAATGGTTGAGCATGGATCTCTGCGGTCCTTGAGGCAAGAGGTTTTAAAGGAACAGCTTATTGTCGAGTGTTGCTTCCTTCAGAGTTTCAGGATTTAAGAATGTATGTTTGATAAATTCTCCTTTTGGTAATAGACCAGTGGGAAATGGTGATAGGGAAGAAATTTATTTCTGTAATCAGAACTTTTCTTATACTTCTATGGGTTATGTATGCATAACTCATGTTCCCTTTCCCTAATTTATAAGCTGAAGACTTGGGGGGTGGGGCACAGGAAGATAGAGAAGAGAAAGGGCTGAGGGCACAGAGGAGATATGTGGAAGTGGAGTCATTTGTTAATCTAGGGAGGGGAGAGAGTTGAGGCTTTTATTACCCTTTTCTTACCATAGGAGAGGGAAGGGAAGTATTCTTCATCCAAGTTAAATGAGGGACCTTCAATATAATTATTTGTAGAAATTGATGGTCCCTGCAAGAAACAGAGATTGACATCCTGATCCTTATTTAGACCTCTGCTAATATGATCTCTGTGACTACTTGGGCAGGAGGAGAAGAGAACTAGAGAGAAATGTCAGGCAGAGAGAAGAGGAGCCCACAAACTGCAGCTTGGTGTGGCACTGATGGGGTTTGTTCCTATGGGTTCCTGCAGTCTCTACAAAGTGGCCAGACCTGATCTAGTTGCCTGAAAACCCACCTAAGAGGACTGGATGAACAATCTTGCTGCAAGAAGCAAGGAGGAAGGTCTATTACCAAAAGGAGTTAGAAGGGACTGAGTCAGAACAAGTCTTCCACATCAGGTATTGTTGAAGTAGGGATCGGCTGCACCCCAGCTACCCAGGCAGCACCAGGTTTGTGCACAGGCCACTCATAAGGCTTCATGTAGCAAAATCAGCAGCATTGAGTCCAGCTGCCCATCTAGATTCTTTCCTCTTTAAAAAAATATTTCTCCTAGGTAGTCATAGTCTGTGGATATTTCATTGTCACTTCAGCTGTTATCAGTCGCTCTGATCTTTTGTAGTTCTTTTACCGCACCACGTTCCCTTTTGTTTCTGGGCTCTTACATATGCTGTTCTATTTGCTCAAAACACTTTTCCTCCTGCTCAATGACTTGCTAACTCCTATTAATTCTTTCAAAGGTTCAGCTTAATGTTGCTCCTTTAGGGAAGTCTTCCTTGAATCCCCGGTGGTTTTGTCCTCTCTAAAGTTCTTTCTTATTCTGAAATTCTCCCTTCTAGCAAATATTTCAGGAGTCAAATCTATCTTATTCAAAATTGTACTCCAAGACCAACCACTGAGCTTAGTGGCATATGGATAAATAATGTATATTCCTTGTCTGAATAAATGAAGGGAAGTAACTATAGCCACCAATGGAAGAATGAGGAAAGTAGATTTGTATTGTGCATAACATCAGTTGTGGACTATAGGACTATAGATTTATACTTTGGAAGCGTTACTATGGTCAAATAAAAAGTTAGTCTTGTCTCTAGCCATTTACCCACAGGCAGTCACGATTCATGTATTAACATTGACAATATTGATTTTGACTGTCTTATTATTTTTGGCATGGCTCAGGGTTAGGTAAGCAGTTGTGGTTGTACTCAGGTAGGCCTTTCATAGAGATGGAGCTAGGTGTGATTTGCATGAGGTGGTCT